AAAAAAAAAAAAAAGTTAAAAAAAAGTACTTAATGGAATGGAATACAATCACAACTTATTATTTTTTATAACGGTTTCTATCACTTTGTACATTGTCAGTTTCCTTCCATGAACATTTTTAACTTCTACCAGTTTCATAAACACTTGTCAAAAATTTGAATTTCTACCAATCTGATAGATGAGAAACAGTATTCATGTCATTTTCTAACTTTTCTAAAATGAACATATATTTTCATAATAATAAAATGTTATTTTTAGATTTAAACTGAATATTTCCAAAGGCAGTCAATTTCTAAGTCTACAGTTTTTCCTATAATTACAATAGTCTACTTTTCTTGACTGCTTCAAGTATTTCAAACAGTGCTCTGTACTAGCCAAACATGGACCATAAAAGAACCTAATGTTCTGAAGTAACATCTGATGAAACTTCAATGTCTACCCTGGAAAATGCTCTAATGATATTCTGAATATTATGGACAATATGATAATGATGACTAGAAGGATAATCAATAAAAAAGAATGGTAAACAGATGATAAATCCCATATCCATTTTATCTAACCTTATATGCTCCCCTAACATATAGGAGAAATTAGGGGCAGAAAAGGCACCGAGAGTTGCCCTGTGGACAACTATTTCCAGCTGAGGAGGGGTGGCCCAAACAAGGAGGAGTCTGCTCTGCGAAATGTCACTGGAAGGACAGTGGGCTCCCGAATCAGTCAGTCCCATCCCAACAGCCCCTTCCTCACTACAACTCCAGCAACAGCCGAAATTTCTCATTCTGAAAGGACGGAAGTCCAGTAGAACTTTAAAATGCTTTGGCACATCCAGATAAAGGAACAAACTAAGCATAATGAGAGAGCAAATCAGACAATTCTAAACTCCAGTAAAAACAACCTACATGCTTATTATCTGACAAAATAGGTTATTGATTTTGTCAATAGAATGAATTTGTTTTCTATCAAGCTGGTATAATTCTTACCTTAGTCAAATTACTAAGATCAGTGATTGTTTCTGAGTCAACTTACTGCACAGCATATTACAAAACAGAGGTATGCATGATGAATATATGGAATCTGTTGGGAGATTTTGAGTTTTCTTCCCAAAGGAGACAAGAATTCCGCTGAAAGGATGCACAAAGGATCACTCTTCAGCTCAACGTATCCTGACCTGGGCTTTTCCTCTGCACAGTTACTTTACCTTCTCTTGCTCAGCATGCAATACTCTTGCCTGTGTGTTTTCTGTGGCTGTTTGAAGTGAGTTATTCCTCTTCTCCATCATTAGGTTACTCTGCTCAACATATCTGTGAAAGAAGTAAGGAAAAAGCAAGCATTTATCAAGCATCAATTGTATGTCAGGCACAATCCATTGCACATTCAGTCCTTGAAACACTGATCAGCACTATCAAAGCAATCCAAAAGCACTTTGTTTTCCTTAGATCTGTATTAATAAGTTTGGAGGTAGAAGCCTAGGTCACAGGTGGACTGTCCTGCATAATGAAGAGGAGAGAAACCTGAAGGCTGTGCATGATAAAAGGGGATGGGGAGGAAGAGAGATAGGAAAAAGACAGCTTTATAAAATGGAATACTACTCAGCCATAAAGAACGAGAATCTAGAAACATTTATAGCTAAATGGTTGCACACTGAGGCTATGCTCTTAAATGAAATAAATAGGACACACTTGAATAAATACTGAATAATTTCTCTGGTGTGAAAAATTAAAAGTGTAAATAAGGTTCAAATGGTATAATTGAGAATGTGAAAATGGCTAAAGGGGAAGTGGGAAGGGGAGGGGAAAGGAAATAAGAGAAAAGAAAAAAATGTGAAAAAATGAAAAAGTGGAAACAAAGTCTTTGTAAATAGGGAAGGGTGAAGGGAGTTCAGGGGTATGGGGAAAAAACAACCAAAATATATCAGGTAAAGAAAGGTACAAGATCCCAATGATAAATGTAACTGTATCGTTTGCTTTGAATGTACCAATAAACTTAATGAAAAAAAGGAAAGAAATAGGAGAGAAGAAAAGATACTCTTTGATCTCTGCCATTTGAGAGATAAGAGACACTGGATGAGAGAAATATGGAAGAATTTTTAAAAGTGAAATGTTGTGTTGTGGCATGTTCTCCTGATCCCCAAATCTTTAGAAGGATCCATAAAAATTATAAAATGTTTGCATTTGAAACAGAAATCAGTGAGGCTGTGGTTGAGCTCTGGTTAATAAAATAAAGAATCAGCCCATACAGAAGAAAGAAGGGTTGACATCAGAGTTATTGATGCGATTTTCAGAGAAGAGGAAACTGGAGGAATAAACAAAATGATCAAAGCCACACAATAAATGAGGGACAGAGCCAGGAGTCAAGTATAGGTCTGCCTTACATCACAGTCCCCTGAGCTTTCTACTGAAAAAGAAAATAGGTGATCCATGTTGTTTATTCTTGTAGTTTTTTGGGGGGATACCAGGGATTGAACTCGGGTCCTTGTGCTAGTGAGGCACGTGGAGAAACCAATGAGCTAAATCCCCAGCCCTAGGTGATAAATTTATATTAGGCAAGGAACAGAGATAGCAAAAACAGGGATAGTGCCAGGCATACCCAAAATCCCAGTACTCTGTGAGACTGAAGCAGGAAGATCACAAGTTTGAGTCCAGCCTGGGCAGTTTAGTGTCTTAACTAGACCCTGTCTCAAAATAAAGAATAAAAAGATCCAGGAATGTAACTCAGTGAAAGACTCTGGGTTCAATCCCCACTACTGCTAAACAAAACAAACAAACAAAATCCCCCAAACAATTAAGGCTGGAGGTATAGCTCAGTGGTAAAATATGTACACATCTCACACATCTCTGGGTTTGATCCTCATTAACACACACACACACACCCCAGAAATATACATATGCCGCCCTAAACAAACATGTGCATTAAATTGGGTATTTACACACTAAACCCTTTCGTCCATCCTAGCCAGGCCCCGTACCTGTCATTACCTCTGATTCCGTTCAATTAGTTCACTAATCTTGTCATTCTGTTCTTCTATCCGACTACTCTTCTCAAGGATCTCCTGCTTCAATCTTTCATTTTCCTAAATTCAAAATACAGGATATACAAGGTAAGAATCTTAAGAGAAAAGTGCCAGATAGAACTTTTGACACTGATAACATATTTTGAAATGAAAAATTAGCTCTTATGTTCACAGATAGAATAGCTAAAATAACACATCAAATTAAGCCCGATGGATACAATTACTCCAATGGACTGAGTGTATAAATGGATATAAAATGAAAAGTTATGAAATAGGGCCAAAAAGCAATGGTTTCCTTCTGACCACAAAGACAAGTCACTTGGACTAAATTAAGCCATAATGGGTTCTCCAGAGTTTTGTAACCGCTGTAGCATTTATCACACACTCTCTATTTCTAGGGTGGAGGTTTTAAAGGGTAGCCTACCTAGGGAGAGAGCAAGACCAAGTGTTGTGTTCTTAATCAGGCTTACCTGAATGATTCGCTGGATGTTGCTCATAATCAGGCTTGTTTCCATTGTAACTGACATGCTAGGAATAAGCATGGAATTGCCAGAACTATGCTTCTGTAACTCTTCAACCTACGAAAGGGATACAAGAGAGGCCGTGAGAGAAAACTTAATACAGAGAAATGGGGTTTACCCAAGATCCTACTGCTTTTTTGAAGGGCTAATAAGTTTCTCAGACAATTGCTAAATGGATCCCAAAATGATGACAACTGGACTCCTGGAGAAATAACTACTACTATAAATACAGGAAACCAAAGGAAAGTTTACCTATAGCTCTGGCTGCTCTGTTACAACCAATTATACCCATGTATCAACACAGCCCCAACCCTCACTCAGTCACCTTAGTCATGAGATGATCCATTTTATCAGCCACTTTGCTGACTGCCATTCGAATTTCTGTATTATGCTGCCTGGCTTCAGTCATGAGAAATGAAGCCATGTCACCCGATCCTAAAAAAATAAAACATATGCCAAAAAGAAATTTACACAATTGGAACAGAGGAACCTGTAGGAAGAAATACCAATAGCTCTTTTACCAGAGGAGGAAATGTCCTAAGAAAGATGTGATTTTACAGTGTCAGGAGAAATGTAGAAGAGATGAAAAAGGGAAAGGACTTCAAACTCACAATAACTAAGCTATGTTCCTAGAAGATGAATTGAGGGCTATAGTCTGGTCCAAAGGCACCAGTATACCCGCTTCTAGACTGCTAAAGCCCTGGCAGCTCACTCTTCATCCCCATTTATCCACCCACAGGCCAGACATCATACAGCCATGAATGAAGGCCTGTCCTTGGTGGGCTCTCAGTACGATGGTGAAGCTGACATGTAAACTCATCATCACAACAAAATATTTTAAGTGCTAAAAATGGACAATGTACAGTGTATGAAAAAGCAGCACCCTGAAAAGGTGAGACTGATACATCACTGTGTCCCCAGGATGGAGAGATAATGTCTGAGAAGGCTGCCCAGACTGTTTTGATGGATGCAAAAGTGTTTCCCAGTTGGAGAAAGGAGAAGGCTCCCAAAGAAAGGCTGAATTCAGGAAGCAATTAGCACTCTGGAATTATAAGTTATGTTGTAAGATGCACCTGCTTCTTCCTCCCACTGTTAGCTAGTAAGGTGACTGCTGAGCAAGACAAACTGCAGAACAAAACAGGCTACCATCATCACAGCCGTTTACATTTCATTTTTCTGTGTTTATTCCCATATGATACTCACCTTGTATGTGCACACAAAATGGCTGAAAGGTCACTCAAACAAATGTTAACAGTGTTTCCTATGACCAACGGGGTTTAATGATTGCAAAGGAGCGTAACTTTTCAGTTTACACTCTTTTGAATTGTTTGACATTTCAAGATTATTAACACAATTAAAAAGTAATTTTCATTGAGATACTCAACACTCACAAGCAGGCTTCCTGCTTTCTCTCTGTCTCGAAATTATAGTCACTCTGATGAAGGCATTAAAAGGGCTGGTAAAAGAAAATGCAAGGGGAAAAAAACCAACAGAAAATGGGCACAAAGGAACTTTTGAAGATAATGGAAATGTTCTAAGAATGAGCTATGGTGATGAGTACACAATTCTGTAAATTTTCTTAGAAATCTTTGATTTGTATACTTAAGATGACTGAATTGTATGGCATGTAATTTTGCCTCAACAAAGCTGTTGCAAAAAGAACAAGTAGAGAATATCGGGATGGAGGAAGGGGAGTACAGTGAGGGCAGAAGATGAGAGAAGAATCACTCTGTACCTTGTAAATGGAGAGGCTGGGAGAGCGGTGCTGGGTACAAAGGCCGAACAGGCTGCAGCTGCGAGGTGACTGAGGCTGTCTGGGGATACGCGTAGGCTTGTGTACCTGCATAGGGCTGAGAAAGGGCCAAGGTACTGCTACTTTACAAAACATTCTTGTCTTTCTTTTGTGCTTACCGTTCCTATGGTAGGACAAAGCAGATTAACTGTGAGGACACTCATACTCCCTGAAGTTGGAGAAGGGTGAGGTCAGGGTGGGCAGTGGGTAACAACATCAGCAGTTATTTGTGGATCCGGGGGTCACTGAAGCCCTGCCCAGACATTGAGAGATGAATCTCATGCTCACTATCCAGTCTTCTGGTGATATCATTAATGAAGTAGAATTTGATTCCCACCATCAAGCCTATTGTTTTAGGAATTTTTAAACTAAGCAAACTCTCTTTGGTGTCCACTTAGGCAAAAAGGAGAAGTGTACATTGAGATTCCAAAACAAACTATTCAGTTTCCAAAGGAAGCCTCCCCACTCCTAGATTGTGATGCTTATCTGTGTGTCCAAATGCTCTTGTTTTTCTCTGAACTGGTCAACTCAATTTTAAGATGAAGATAATACTATGACTTTGTAGGGTTATACTGACTAAATGAAGGATATAGATAAAGTTCTTAACAACTGAAAAATTGACTGCCCGGAAGATAGTAAATACTCAATAAATAACTACTATTATTTTAACGAGAGCAGTTATTCTTCCCTGAAATAAGGAAACCCAACTCACTTCCAGGAACAGATACAACTATGCATCTACTATTTAAACAACAAAAACTAAACCTTAGTCTATAATATTTGCCATTGAGGGAGGAGTAGGACTTTCCAGTTTGGTACTCTAACCTCACAGAGCAGTCTGCCCATCATCAAACAAAAATCTCAAAATTCTACTTCAGGAAATTACTGGGCTGGGATTTAGCTCAGTGGTTCTGTTGCCTGCTTGCAAGCGCAAGGTTCTGAGTTCGATCCCCAGGCACCCCCTCCTCCACCGAAAAAGAAATTACTTTTGGATCACAGTGGAGTCCAGCTCTATTTTCTATACAGCCTCCACCCTCAACCCAAAGACATCCTGAATGTTAGACTATCAACTATCAGAAAACAACACAGAAGACATGAATGTATACATCTCAACTAGGTATGTGTGAAAAAGAAAGGAAAGACACGCCAATCGGACCTTTGCTAGGTGTCAGGCCTAGGCCTTGTACTAGGAGCTCTGCTGTTCTTGTATTTAATTTTCACATCATATAAAGCAAGTCATCCTCTGTCTGCTTTAGAAATAACCAAGTTGTGATTCAAGAAAGGAAGAAAAAAATACACTCTTGACTTTAGTGACAGCTACTATGTGAAGGGGAAAGAAGAAAATAATCTACCTATAGGTGTGCAAGAAGAAGAAAAGAGACTGACCAGAGCCACAATAAATTATAGCTTATAATTACTGTAGTTTAAACATGTTGTTACCTGGAAGGACTGGGCATTTCCAGATACAGCCGAGTGAGAATCGAGAGATGCAACTTGCACTAAGGCAGCAGAGGGAGCTTGAAGCCCAGAAACAGATGGCTGAAGTGCTAAGATAAAGCAAGACATTTTTACTGTTATCTTTCCTTACTTCTTGGTATGAATCTGCAATAGCACCTTAAATACACCCATGCTTCAGAGTCAGTGACTTTCCTTACACAGTCTCCTAAAACCAGCTCCACTGGTATCCCAGCAGTAGGCTAGTGGAAGGAGGTGGGTATTCTCACGTGTCTCTGACTCAAGCCTATGATCCTATCAGCTGACAGGAAGTGCAGAATAACATACTTGGAGACATCTCAATTAGTTGAGGGAACATTTCCAAAACCAGCAATATGACATAGAAGTCATAATAAGCAGTCCAAATGCACCTCAAGTAGAAAAATTCCCTGCACAGGGGCAAAATGACAAGTTTTATACCCTCATCCAGCCCACAGTACTAAAACAGAGCTTAATAGTATAAGGAACAGTGATGACAATTTTGCACTGACCCATTTCAAAGGCACAGAGCCTCAAGAGGTTCCCTTCTTACCCTGTGAGGTCATCTGTGGTAACACGGGATGGGCTGGCTGAAGAGAGGGCTGGATGGGTGGTGTCACCAGGGGCTGCCCAGGTCCTCGAAGAGTGTTCAAATCCTGAAACAGGCACAAGCCTTTTGTTACTATGCTTGAGTCCTTAGCTGAAGGCTAGGGATGACTGATTCTAACACAAGTTTTTCAAGAAAAGAGGAAGGAAAAGCTTTCTGCTTAGAAAGCTAAGATTTGAGGATGTGGGTTGTGGGGAAGAACTACTCAGTTATGCAACAGAGTAAGAGTCCTCTATGGAAATCATAAATAATTAAATATGGTTAATTTCCACAAATGTCCTAACATTTTCTTGTCTGAAACAGCCAAATGAATAGTTCTCTGGAATGTATTATTTCCCAAACCAGCAGCTACCTTAAGACCGATCCAATCTGTTTCCACAAAAGAGGGGGTCTCTCAAAGAAACCCAGGAATGACTGAACCTTTCCTCTTCTGCCAAATAATCCCCACAGGCCTCAAAGCAACCAGTGAAAGTCAGTTAGAATAGGTTTTACAATACCTCATTAATATGCTAGTTTTGGATAATAGAGTTTTAGAGTGTTTACCACTCTTTTCATAAAATCCAAGCTAAACAGTTATCCTATATTTTCTAGTTCATACAAGGAACAGAATATCTTAAAGCACAATATACAGTGACTAAAATCTCCTATGCTGCAGTTCAAGGGCTGAAATCTCTTGGGTCATTCTTTTATTTCAAAGCTTCCTCTCAGCTCCAATATTTTCTGGAAAAATATCTCAGTTTTAGATCATTATAGCCTGACATCAACCTAAATGTTTAACAGTAAAGTAAAAGGAACTATGATAAATCAATATAGAACACAGAGTTACTTTTAAAGATAATAATATTTTGCTTAATTATTTGCTTTACAGATATTAACATAAATGTTTATGATATAACATTAAGTTTAAAATTCTAGTTACAAAGCAAAATATAAAAATATCATCCCTTTTAAAAATAAGATTTTTTTGGGCTGGGGATTTAGCTCAGTGGTTTGGTGGCCTGCCTTGCAAGCGCAAGGACCCGAGTTCAATCCCTGGTACCAAAAAAAAAAAAAAAAAAAAAAAAAAAAAAAAAAAAAAATTTTTTTTTTTGTCAT